AACTACTTGTCTAATGACTAAATTGGGGTTCCAATCTACTTGTCCCTCATGACAATCTACTTGTCCTGATTAAAAAAATTATATATTTTTTTTGCAAGATGGAAAATATGAAGGGTTGCTGTTTTATTAGGCAGAGGTGCTTTTAAAAGCAAAAAGGGGATTTCTGGTGACAAATGTTTAAAGTTTTTTATTTTTTTTGCTAGAAAATTTCTTTGAATCCCCAAACATTATATATATTTTTTTTTTAAACAGAGGCCCTAGAAAATAAATTAGTGGGTGTTGCAAATTTAATATTTTGCATTCAAATTAAAAAAAAAAAAAAAAACACAATAAGTAAACCCAAATTTCTGGTAAAGATGATGTTAGGCCAAGTAAATACATATCAAACCTGTCACTGTGCCGTGCAACGGCTTCAAACGACATAAATTTTTCTATCCATGACACATGCGTTTGCACGTGAGCACAGGGGGCAGGGATGATTTAAAATTTCTTTTTTTTTTGCCATTACAAGAAATGTAAACATCCCTTGTGACAGCGACAGGTATCCTTTAAGGAGAAATATGGGAGTCAATAAGACCCAGATTCCTCCTCTGCCCTTAAAAGCATTTGATCACACCAAGATTGGTGTGATCAAATGCTTTCCATTTTTTAAACTGGCACTTCCTGGTCATCGCTTCCGGTTTCCTATATTATAGGAGGTGGACAGAGTGGTTCCAGTCTTTGTCTGCCTCTCAGAAGTGTAGCTAGAGCCTTAAGGGCCCCATTGCACAAAATAATGAAAGGCCCCTGGGTCCCTTTCCATCAGTCCCGAGACTTTTCCCACTGATCCCAAGGCCTTTTATTATGACCCCGCAGTGGGCCCCTTTCCTGTCATCTTGGGGCCCTCCCATGGTGGCAGAATGCCAGGGCCCGATAGCAAATGTGACCTTTGAGAGCCTGGTAGTTCCGCCAACTGTGTACAGTCACCAGGGATCTTCTAGCAATAAAAGTTTAATTGCTAGAAGATCCCTGGTGATTGGACATGATTAATCATTTTATTGCTGGCAGATGAGACCCCAGTTGGAAGTGCATGATTAACCCTTTCAGATGTGTTGGAAGCCTATGATTAACCATTTCACTATTAACCAATCCCAAATGGAAATGCATATTTCCACCAGGGATCTGCTAGCAAAGAAATGGTTAATCATACATTTCCAAAACAGATCTGAAAGGGTTAATCATGCACTTCCAACTGGGATCTCATAAGCCAGCAATGAAAGGGTTAATCATGTCCAGTCACTATCTTCTAGCAATGAAAGTGTTAGCATGTGCTTCCTGATCATTATCTCTCCATCACTATACAACACACATACCAGTCCTGCAGCCTTCTCTCGCAGCACACCTGTGGCAAGGAGTGATCACCTCTGAGGCTGGCCTCACCCTCTCCTCGAGTGCGGCCCAATCACTACGAGCTCCGCGGCAGGCTCTACCTCGGGGATGAGTAGGACAATCTCTCCCTAGCATGCACTGTAGTGGATTCCACCATTGCCGCCTCTATTATCAGCCAGCAGAAAAGCTGGCTAGTCGATGGGGACAGCGCATGGGTGGGAGGCTCTAATGCAGGCCATAGATGGGGAGAAAAACGGCAGATTTTCGGCCGATTAACGAACTATCGGTCGCTAAAAAACTTACCTGACCACCAATTATTACGAAAATCGGCCGATTAATGAGTAACCTGTAAAAAATGATGTCATTTTGTGGCCTTTGTGATCCTTTTTCGGAAAACGATCGTTCGTTTTTGACCATCAATGAGGATAAAGTCGGGCGTTTTTCGAAAATTTTCCAACATCACCGATAATCTGAAAGTCCAAAATACACGAAAAACGGCCGACAAAATCGTCCACTAACGATAAGATAATCGGAATTCAACGAAAAATCGGCCGTTTTTCTCCCCATCTATGGCCTGCTTAAACCTTGCTGCTTGCCTGCAGCAGGGCAAATCTAAAAAGAAACTTCTTTACCCGAAACTGCATGTCCCGGACATCAGATGATAGGAATTCAACATCCCTGCAGGTGCTTTTTCTGGTGCAACAATGCTCATTTGGGGCTCTATAAAAAAAGGCACACAAAAAAAAAAAAAAAAAACACACGTGCATTGAAAACAGAAGCACAGGTGTTAAGCATATGCCAATTCGTGATAAAGCACAAAAAAAAAAACAAAAAAAAAAAAACAATTGCACTTTCAAGTTTGCAGATTCAGAAACTTAGAATACATTCGCTATTACTTCATGCTATTAGTAGATATTCCTCAAAAACTACTAGAGCCACCATTGCGAAAGCCGGAGCATAACATGCAAATATAAAGAACTGTTTCCTGGTTTAAGATCAATGCAAACAAGTCTCAAATGCAGGCAGCTGCTTCAATGTATTTCATCGGTTACTAAATACTAAAGAAACTGAAACACTGCTGAATAATGGACAGTAATACAAAAAAAAAAAAAACACAGGCACATTAAATATTAAAAGTACAACAGAGTCACTCTGCATTTACTAAACAGAGTATATATATATATATATATAAATAAATAATAAATAAATAAATAAATAAAAGCACACACACAAAACTATCAGCTTCAGACGATTTCTTTGTATTTTATGATTTTACGACTGTTTTGTTCCAGTCACAAAAATAATAATTAAGAATGTGTTTTCTAAAAATGCATACTGTGTTCTAGATAATATACAATATGTACCCTGAAAAAGACCATTGTTTGAAACGCGTTGGATTACTTCATATTAGTTCTGCTATTATGAAGCAAAAGTAAGCCATGACGTGTGATTTTATCATTTTCGTTCAATAAAGAAATCTGTGATGGTAATGTTGTTACCATATCTATCGATAAAGTACCTGACAGCCCCAGCTACATGTATAATTTGTGAACACTGTTGAGACTTTAGAGATGTTGGCACATTTGCATACGTAGTAGTACTTAAAGTAGAACTATAGGCAAAATATTTTCATTTTGGATAGAGTAAGGGAGGGTTATAACCCGTCAGTATTTTTCGCCATCTGTGCCCCATTGGTGGAGATTTCCCTTCACTACCTGTCCCATAACCAAACAGAAAGTAAGAGGAAATCCCTGCAAATTAAAAGGAATTCTTTGGGGACACCCAGGTCACCAGAACTAGTGTCCCCATTGGAAGATTTCCCCCCTAATATATTTTAGAGACAACCCAAAATTTAGGATTTTTCTTTTACTTTCTCTTTCAATGAAATGGTAAACAGGACAAATAGAGAAGGGCAATCTCCATAACGACAGGTGTTCTAATCCCTCTCCACTCTATTCTAAACTATTAAAAAAAAAAGGTTTGCCTTTAGTTATATTTTATGTATATTAATTCATTTTATCAGGATACTATTTTTCTGTTTTCCTGTCCTGATGACAACCTCTCTGCTCATTTGTTGTCCTGCTGTCAGAGAGAGAGGATGTGGGGACAGCAAAAACAATCTTTCAGGTATATTTAAACTTCAGAACAAAACAATTTGGTTGGACCTGGGTATTTAACCTCCAGAGGATTTACCCCACTTCCTGACCAGGCCATTTTTTGCAATACAGCGCTGCGTTACTTTAACTGACAATTGCATTGTCATGCAACGCTGTACATAAATTAAATTTATGTCCTTTTTCTTCCACAAATAGAGTGGTGGTATTTGATCGCCTGTGCGGTTTTTATTTTTTTGCGCTATAAACAAAAAAAGATCGACAGTTTTGAAAAAAAAAATATTTTTTCTTTTTAACTTTTTGCTATAAAACATGTCCAGTACAAACATTTTTTAAAATTCAAAATTTCTTCATAAATTTAGGCCAAAATGTATTCTGCTACAGGTCTTTGCTAAAAAAAAATCCCAATACATGTAAATTAATTGGTTTATGTGAATGTTACAGCGTCTACATATTTTGTTTTATACTAGTAATGGCAGCGATCAGCGACTTATAGTAGGACTGCAGCAGGCATTCTGACACTGGGGGTGGGGGGACTGACTAACTGCCACGGACATCCCCAGTGACACTAATACAGTGATAATAAAATGCACTGACACTGTACTAATGACATTGGGCAGAAAGGGGTTAACATCTGGGGGCGATCAAAGGGTTAACCGTGTGCCGTTTTACTGTGTGTGCTTTACTAGGGAAACATACTGCTGTGTGTATTCTCTGCCGTGCAGAAAAATACAGAGGCATGTTACTGCTGGCAGGAGAGAGACCTGTGTTTTTTCTACATGGCGATCAGCGGGTGCCAGCAGGGAACCTCTGGCTGGGACCCGTTGATCTACAGCTGTAACCACCAATGGTGATGCAGATAGGGCGGCGCGCGCCCCCTACCCGGAAACATGATTTTGCACAGCCCTGCAGCAGTAGTTCTGTTGTAAGGCAGTAGGGAAGCGGTTAACATTAGCAACAGGAAAAAATACTTTTCAAGGCTGCTGCCAATCAGGTGTATTATGGAAGACTGCTGGATTTAGGAATAGTCACTGTCTTGCTCTATGATCTTCATGACACTGATGTCAGGACTCACTTCTACTGCATCTTGCTTTTTTTTGCTTAAAATGGGATTGAAGTCTAAAAAATTATAAACCGCTGACAAGAAGGGTTTTCATGACAGAAGAGACCCTATTGGTCTCTTTTGTCATAAATGCTTCACCCTGCCTGTTTTATTGGTCATGTACACCGAGCCAGACAAACACAGCTCAGTGTACATTTGCGGCACCCTCTCTGTGCCATGATGACGCAACTCCCATGCATATGCACAGAAGTGGCATCATACCAGCCTGGCCATTCAAGCGGCTGAACACAAAAGACCAGGAAAAGATGGAAATGCTCGTGGCAGCATCATTTGCCACAGCTGCCTTAAAGCGGATCTCCACCCAAAAGGGGAAGTTCCGCTTTAAGCTCTTATCCTCTGCTCCCCATTAAGGATTGGCACCTTTGGGGAGCAGGGGGGTACCCAAATTTGACAGGTACCCGCTCCCACTGTGATTGCCTAGGCGATCAGAAGCAGAAGTTGTCCTCCCCCCTGCCTGTAATCTTCTGGGACACGTGACAGGTCGGAGAAGACTACGGGGCCATTCAGGAAGTGTAGCGCTTCTCGCACAGTGGGCACCCGGCTGTGAAGCCACAAGCTGTCACAGCTGGGTGCCCACTCTGAAGATGACGGCGCCAGAGAGAGAAGATGGCCAGGTGAAACCGACCGGACCGAGGGACAGGTAAGTGGCTGTATTTTAAAAGTCAGCAGTTACAATATTTTCATATGGAACTCCGCTTTAATATTCGGTGTATATAAGAACATTCTGCTGTAGGACCCACATCACACCTGAGCGATTTGAACTGCATTTCCAGAGGTGCTTCAATGCAAGACACAAGATTCCTATTCTATTAGATTGTGCCTGTTCACATCTGAGTGATGTGCTGCTGCTGCGAAACGCTCAGAAAGTACAGGAGCTCCTCTGGGGCATGATCACATGTTTCAATGACAGCACCTGAAAATCATACGTAAATCTACAATGGCACAAAAATGCTCATAGGTAAGGCCAACCTTACACATTACACCACACAGAATATATATTGTGTAGTGCCAAGAAATTAAGTGAGAAATTACAGTTGCAATACAAGACGGGGGGGCAGCTGCTCCTGAGTGCCTAAAGCAAAACTACAATGCATCTGAGCACCAAAAACACTATTTAATTCATTTTTAATATTCAGAGCAAACTCCCCCATCCATCCATGCTTTATTTTGTTGAGAAATCACTTAGGGCTCGCTCACACTGACTAATTTCTAACTCTTGACAAATGCCTCTATAATGTTTGACAGGCATTTGGGAAGCAGTTTTAACGTTCCCCAAATGCCCTATGAGCATTTTTGAGGCGTTTGCCAAGCGTTAAAACCACACCAAACGCCTATAATGAAATTTAATTGTATTAACGCTCAGCAAATGCCTGCCTGATTGGACATGAGGCATCAATTTTGCTGTGACACTAACACTTCAGTGTGAACAGCACTGTGTGCTGCCATGTGTAGAATTTTCATAGGTGTTTGAGGAGTGTTAAAAAAAACTCTTCCCAAACAGTTAACGCCTGCTAAAGCTAGTGTGAACTTAGCCTTAGAAAAACAGACACTTTAATTTTTTTTTTCCAATTTTTACAGTCACTTTAATGGGTTTTTTTTTTTTTTGATCACTTGTTTAAGAATGTAAACATCCCGTACCAGCAATACACATGTGACAGGTATTTTTATGGAGGAATCTGAAGTCTATGAGATGTCCCCTCCCGCTGCTGCTTGTACAAGAGAGTTGACCGCTGGCTATAAAAAAAAAAAAAAAAGTACCGGGGTGATGCCTGCACACCACCAAAAGTCCAGCAATGTACAGGTATGTCGCTGGTCCAGAAGTGGTTAATAACAAATACCATGCATGTCCAAGAAAATGGTGGAGCCAGGAGCCATACATGATACAATTTTCTTGAGAATTTTGCTTTAGTTTTACCAAAAACCATATAATAGAAGGTCAAAACTAAACAACACTTTCAGTTGTATCCAATTAGGCAGGCCCTTGTGCTACATAGTTGAAGGTAAATCTAAAGGAAATTGACCAGAAAACTGTATAGTGTATGGCCAGCTTTAGAGTGCCCAATTGGCCAGACAGATCCCACACCCTGCTGAAAGCCTTCTACCAACACTGCCCATACACAAGTGCACCTGATTTGCCCAAATCTACCAGCTGTTGATCACAAAATGATCAAAGTCCGGGCCACCTTCACTGACATTACAAACCTAGATCTATGCTACACACACAGTGAAGGTTAGCAATGATCAGTTCTGCAAACAGATAAAGAAATTGTTGCCAGAGACAGCCCCATCATGCTACTTCTACCTACTAAGGGGCAAATCTTTAAAGTGCACTAACGTGCCTATAGCGTTAATGTACCTTTCGGAACCATTGCACAGGTGTTTAGGTCATGGCAGGCAACACTCCCTAAAACACCCAGCAAGATATTTATACTTTTACAGGTATATGTTTACACCTGTGTGAATGTTGGATAGAATGGAGGGATTAGAGCACCTAACAGTTTTTGCTGTCAATGCCCGTCAGGAAGATTCACCTTCTATATTTTTCCTGTTTACCATTATCATTGAAAGTGAAAGAAAATCCCAAATTCTGGGTTGAAAACAGATGGCTAAGAGGGGAAATCATCCAATGGGGACCCTAGTTCTGGTGATATTCCGGGATTCCCTCATTTCCTGTTTTGACTATGGGACAGGAAGTCAAGGAAATCTCAGTGGCACACCGATGGCAAAAACCTGACAGGGGTTATAACCCTCCCTTACTATCTGAAATGAAGAAAAAGTATATTTAGTTACACTATAAATGCAGAACTCTGATGCCCAACTTTTGGCCGTACAGAATATGATGGGTGGCTGTTAGACCTCAGCAGTCTGTAGTGGCAACATAAGTGTAATAGCATTGATCTCTACAAGCCTCGTGTAACATGTTCCCAGTTTTTTGTCTTCTCTGGCATATTTTATTTATTTCAGGTACTTATATAGCGCCGTCAATTTACGCAGCGCTTTACATATATATTATTCACATTCCCTACATCAGTCCCTAACTTACATTCATACATACACATACTAGGGACAATTTAGACAGGAGCCAATTCACCTACCAGCATGTCTTTGGAGTGTGGGAGGAAACCAGAGTACCCGGAAGGAAACCCACACAGGCATAGGGAGAACATGCAAACTCCAGGCAGGTGGTGCCGTGGCTGGGATTCGAACCAACAAACCTAGTACTGCCAGGCGGAAGTGCTAACCCATATCCCAAGCCAAATATCTAGCAAGTCCTTACTCCTGACCCTCCTATCCTCTAACAAGCTCCATGCACACTAGCAGTTTTTTCTGCTCCTAGAAGCTATATAGTGCAATCCTATGTGTCCACGCACACTACTTTTGGTTAGTAGCGTTTTTCAAGATTCAAAATTCAGGAGAAGAAAAATAATGTCCTTCTAGAGTTCTTGGGAGCATTTTTCTAGCAGAAAAAAAAATGCTGAATGCTCCTAAATGCTACTAAAAGACCCCTAACAGTTTTTTTTTCCTAGCTTTTTTTTTTATGTACTGTAAAAACGCTAATAAAAAATGTGAACGCTCCTAAACGCTACTACAAGCTGACACAAAACACTATTATCAGCGTTTTCCATCCAGCTTTTTCTAGCTTATAAAAAAAAAACTAGTGTGCATGGAGCCTTAGGCTCCGTGCACACTTTTGCAACTTTGGGCACAAAGTTGTATGGCAAGTCAAAGCCCATTGTTTAATGGCATCTGATCTATGGGCGTTAAAGTCGCAGTGAAAAGGTTCCTGCATTAGTTTGATGCGACTTGAGTCCCAGAAAGTGTAAAGTCGCACTAGAAATCATGTGAATTTGGAGTTGCACAAGTGTGAATGGAGCCTTAGATCTGTAGTTTGACAGTCCTCTCAAGCATTACATACTGAACATTATGTGTGGCCCTCTGGTGATATCAGGGTCCACATTAGAGACCTCCTCTAAGTCATACAATGACAACCACTGGTTTAGAGGCATAAAAAAAAAAAATTTTAAAAAAAGAGGACAAAGAAAACACAAAAAAATGCATGAAGCTGGTATTCTTGCCAGTAGGATGCATTTATACACGCGCGTCCATACATGACATTGGCGGTAAGTTTTCTGGCATTAGAAGTCCAGCCTATTTGGAGGCTACAATCATACATCTGTGTGCATGACACCTAACAATTAGGCCACATTCACATCTAAGCGTTCCAGAAACTGGCAAAAAAGCACATCCAAACGCTCACAGTGCCGTTATTTCCTAATGACTCCCCCAATGCGGGTTGCAGTCGCGTGAACAGCGCTAGGCTTGATGACCCCCACCAAAAAAGCTACTTTGGCAGATTTGTCACATGTAGGGCTGCCCCTTCAGGTGAACACTGCATTATGCTGTCGCTCGGATGTGAACGCAGCTGTAATAACAGCGCAAGCAGGATTAGCGGTTTTCACGCAGGTTTCTGCGCAGATCCCTAGAAGGCACAAGTGTGAACGCAGGCTTGCGATCACAGGTCTGATGGGTCCAGGAATCGGTGTGAAGGTGTTCTATTCCACGTACAGCTCTTGGTGAGGAGTGTCAGACATCGCACAGATGGACACACACATACAGATGGACACACACACATACAGATGGACACACACATACAGATGGCCGGGGATGTGAAGCAATAGTCAGAAAGCCCCGGGCGGTGCTGGGCTCTCTGGGCCCGTGTGATCAGGGATGGTAGAAGAAGCCTCGGTCTCTTCTGGCCCATCAGGCGCCAGCGCGGGCCTACCATCCCCGATCGTCCCTCCTCCCCCATAGCGCACATTCCTCTTACCCTCCTCTCCTCCTCCTGGGTGCTCCGGTCACATAGAGGCCTGGCTGTGTGCGTGCGGGCCGGGGCCTGCACCTCCTTCCGGCTCCCCCTCCAATCCCCGCTCAAGGAGACTTCTATCGTGCCTTTGTTTACAGTACAGCAGGCCGGCCTCGCTCTGCCTTTCCTCAACACCGTCCGACACACCGGAGCCCCGTGAAGGTAAACGCCCCTTCCGCCGCTGGCTGCCTCACGGCGACTCGTTCTCCCCCCCCAGCCACCAAGCAGCTCCTTATCTCCAGGAAGCCGCCATGACGCCGCCGAGCTCCTCAGAAACTCCTCACGATGGATGGAAACCCCGGGCGTGACGTCACGGCAGCGCTGCAGAGCGCGTAACTCAGGCCGTAGATTCAGACGAAAGCATCCCGGCCCGCCCCCTCCCCTACACTCAGCAAGTGTAACTGGAGCTCAGGATGAGGAGGCGTGGTTGCTCGGGTTTCGGTTCCACCCGCGCAGCGGCGGGAGCGTGCTTTTGGGGAAGGTAGGCGGGGTTTTGAGTCTAGTCCTAGAAAGTGACGCACGCTGCGTACTTCCGCTGTGTACTCTCTGGGCTGTGAGGCGCTCTGTATGGATGGGTGAATGCTGCTCACCCAGCGAGGACGGCTGACTGACTGGCGGAAGTGGTTGCTGTCGGTGAAATTGTTAGAGGTTCAGGGCGGTGTGCGGGTGGAGACCGCGACTGGCTTCTCTTCGGTGACTGTGGGCCTCCTGTGT